GAGAGAAAATGAAAACGAAACTTAACTGCAGCAAACTATAAAAGCAAAACTTCACGCTTGTTTTGCCAACACAACATGGCGTCTTTGTGGTGTAAACACGGTGACACAAATGAATATTAATGAAGTTGCACAGTAGAGCGCGCTGATTGGTTTGAACCAAGCCTTACTCATGCATTAATGCAGCACACTGTAAGACGTAATAAGACTCACTCTGGCACAGACGCCCAGTCTGCACGCTGGATTACACGCTATTATGTCATGACCGTGACGCAGCTTCAAAAATTCGTTTCAAACAGGAAGTACGAATTTGCTTGAAATAACGCAAAAACAACCAATTTACACTTTTTAGTGAAATATAAGTGTCCTAATAGTGTTTTTAGCAGTGTGGGACACATATACGACTGTCAACAGCTCAAAAAATGTGTTTTGGTGTTTCGTGACCCTTTAAATGGATAGTTCACACATCTTTTACTCTCCTTCAACTGGTTCCAAACCTTTATGAGTTTCTTTCTTCGGTTAAACACAAAAAATGCTTTAAAGTCAGCTAAAAACCCCTAACAGTATTTGTTTTCATTTAGTACAGTCTATGGTTTACATATTTATTTAATTTTTTATTTTCAGTGCTTCAACAATATAACAGAAGGGCATTAATGAATTGGAAAGTTACACTCAAAATTGAAAGAATCAATTTACATTCACAATCTTTACATCAACATTAACAGGGACCGATATGTGCCTTTTTACAAGATTAAAATAAGTCTCTGAGGTCCCTATATGTGTAGTGTCAGCTCTAAATAATACACAATTATTGTTTTAAAACTCTTTGAAATTGTGACTTTTAGGCTTTGATCCTAATTGTGCCATTTTGGTGACTGTTGCTTTAAATTCAATTGACATGTTGCTTTTTTCAAAAGCGGGCGGAGCTAAAAACACCATAATCAGCATATAAGCAGATTCCAATGTTGCCAGATTGGGCGGTTTCCTCCCCAATTGTGCGGTTTTGAATTTGATTGTGAGGGTAAAAATGGCATTGGCATGTTAACAAAATTTGGCCGGTTTTAAAACGTGAATTTTATATCAAGACAAGAGAAGTTATATGCAACTTATTCAACAAAACATAACTGTGTGCTCCTACTCCATTCAGTTAGTAGTGACCAGTGCATAGCGCAAACCGCGTGGGCCCACTAGCAAAAGGAGGAGAAGGAAAGTTGTATCAAATTCTAACTTTCGGACAAATCTGACTCCGCTTCCTGTGTACACGAGTCACAAACAATGACTGTAAAAAATATGGACGACGCAACAGCACCTTTTCCCATTGAACGCATTGAGGGCAAAATATCCTCATGACGGGCACAAACTGTCGCAAAACACTGCTGAAATTGGAGCCAGCACATGCGCAGAAGGACATTCCCCGTGGAGCCAGAGGCGGAGCGAGGCGGAGCCGCGATTTCAAACTCCCACCCGCCCAAACTCTCTCACGTCAATCAACTGCGCCCCGGAAGTTCGCTGACTGCACTTTATATTTATTTATTTTTTACAGATCTTCAACGGTAAATACAATACAGATAACAACTAAAATTTCAGAACACACAATGATAAATTATACGTTATTTAACAGTAGTGACATATGGTTTTCATAATTATTTATAGTGTAAATAACGTTAGTGTTGTTTTAACAAAGTTAGCATCATAGTTTATAACGAGCAATTGTTTTTCTCAAACAATTATATATTTAAATTAACCTTTGCTTTAAATCTTATCTTCAGTTTAGAATCAGAAATGACATCAGCAGCCGTCACAGCCACCACTGAGGCCAAACGTAAGTATAAAGGAATAATGAAATAAGTTAATTGTAATAATTACATAACGTAATAAAATAATTATAATTGTAATTTTTGCGTGTTTGTACCTGTCATTTTCAGTTTGTCCGGATTCAGCCATAGCTGTATTTGGAATGTTCAATAAATGATTTAATCAGTGATTTTACAATAAGTGCATTTATTATAGCATACTACAATACACCAGATTAGTGTTGTCAAAACTAAATAATACTCCAGTATTTATCAGTTCACTATAGTTAATACTACAGTAAGTTAATACTACAGTATCCTGGTGCGCTAATTTATTTAAGTACAATGCACCTTACTACTGAAACGGTTCAAAAACACTATAGTATTTATTTACTATAAATTATTATAGTATTTTTCATGTGGTATATGCCCAATATAGATTAAAAACAGCTCAGCAAAATGTTTTATGCTGCCTTACCTTTACAAGGCCCTTGAATCCTGGAGATTTTCAGTGCTTAATGTATGACAGAGATATTCTAATTGATCATTACAAAATAAAGTTGAAAATAAAAACAGTGCTAAAATCAGTGCATGGTAAAGAATTGTTTATTATTTATTCTCCTGTGCTTAATTTGCAGCAAAAATAGATTGACTTTTCCAAAAGTAAATAAATAAAATATTATAACTACTTAATAAATAACATTTGGTCTTTAGTACTACCTTTGCCAACTAACAGTTAAAACAAGAAGTAATAAATACAATAACTGCTTAAATTACTGTTAATACAATCTGGCTTTTGGTAAAAAAAAAAAGTTAAACTCGCAGTAAAAAAGTAAAAAAGTTAAACTCGCAGCGGTTTATCATGACACTTTTATCGATCTTTTTCCCCACAATAGACAGCAAGAACAAACAGAAGCATTGTCTGATTGACAAGCAGCACCTAATTATGATAAATAGAATTTAAAACGCCAAATGAGATGAATTTATACCCTATTTTGAAAGTAAAACATACTCTAGGTAGTGTAATCTACACAGCATTAAGTGCAGTGTGTGGGTGAGAGGGGGCAGTGTTTATTTGATCCGGCAGTGTTGTGGTTCTGCGACTGGTAGAGTTGTTGTATGGTTAAAAATGATGACGGTTAAAGTAACTAGGTTATTCATTTCGATTTAAATAAATTAAAATGAAGTCAAATATTAATCAAATATTTTGGGTGGGTTTTGGACCACTTTTGGGCTGGAAAGATCGGCTAGCCTATATCTGGCAACACTGGCAAATTCAAAACAGCACTAACCTTATCTGTGTGAAAAACTGAAAAAGTCAAAAGAAGTGTGTAAGAAAAAGGCAGCTGAGACCACAGTGTTCATTTGTGCATCCTAAAACTCCACATTTATAATCCTTTTAGTCGCTTACATTATCGTCAGCAGGTGAAAAACTTATGGTGGATGACTGCTTCTAATGCCTAGTTCACACTAGAGGATTTTAAGCCTGATTTGAGCCCGATTTGGAAGTTAACGAGCTCGCCGACAGATCGGGCTGTGATCGGGAAGAAATCTGCGGGTGCTTGGCGCTCGCCGCTCATTATGTGTGAACTACTGAACAACGCATCAACGAGGCTCGCTGACGCGTCGCCGACACCTCGCAGACGGAAATACAACATTCAGCATGCTAAATATTCCAGAGCAGTCGGCCGACTCAACCCCACGTGTGGTCAGATGTAGTGACGAGCTACAGCCAATGAGAGAGCATATCAGCATGAGCTGAACGCCTGTGTGTTCAGGAGCTCAGCAGAAACATCTGTGATTGGTCAGAATGGGCATCGGTGCACTGGCTTCATTCTGCGTTAGCACAGACATGAGAGTAGGCTATATTAACAGTGGAACTAGAATTCTGTAACTATTAGAATTACCATACAGCTCATTCTGACCGTTCTCATATAAAACGCCATATTGTCACAACATATTTACATTCAAAGCTATTATTGAGATATTAAAATTAAGCTTTGAATGTCTGGCATCATATTTAATGACACCATTACCCTAAAAATACAATATTTTTTGGTAATACAGCCTAAAAATATGTAGTTAAGATACTAAAACACTTAAAGGTCTTGGCTTTCATTTTCACTTTCAAACAGGAGCTATTTCACAGCACAGAATATGCAGTTTTGAAAGATATCTGAAGTAAATTGATGTTTTTGCCATCAGAAAGTTTTGTTTATGTTAGCAGGAAGTTGCCAGGCAAGAAAATGCACACATATTTAAAGTCACAGTGAAAAGTATCAGACATGCATGCAGTCATTTTGACCAATATGGTAATTTAAGGCAGAAATGCTCAGTTCTTTACTGTTTTGTAATAAAAAAAAATAACAATGTCAGAAAGAAATACACTGATAGTTAGAAAACGGCAGGGTGTTATAAATATGTTAGTTTTATTTCAAAGAGTTATAAAATTACAAAAATTAAAAACTCTCTGTGTATCTATCCACTGGAACCTGCAGATGAGTGATTAATCCGCTGATAAAAGATGTTTTTAAATGCTTTCTCCAAAGCTTGAAAAGCTGTCAGTGATGTCATCAGCACACAAGCAGCCAATAGTGTTCAGCTTTTTCTGACGACTCCTCCCTCAAAATTTTATTGGCTGTGGTTTGGTAGCTTGAATGAGCTGATGGGGAATGAGATGTTGTCAGATCATGTAGTGTGTGACCCCCTCTTGTGGATCGTTCACGGAGTGTTGCGTAGTGTGAACACCACAGAGATCAAAAGACACAAAGTCAAGTCATGGAGTGTGAACAGCACAGCGATCTGCTGATGTTTAAAATCCTGTAGTGTGAACTAGGCTTAACTCAGCGCTTTTTATGCTAATGAGGAGGAGATCGTCACCAATGGGCGGGGCTTTCCTCGCTACTTACTTTTACAAAGGGAGAATGTCAAAAGTTTCTGCATACTGTTTTTATCTAGTTTGATTATATATATTTTTTTACCATTGGAGACTAAATTTACACACTGCCACACAACTGTGCTTAAACCTGTTATTAAAGTGTGTTGTTCTTGTTGTTTTTTTTTTGTAAAATAAAATTTTACTAATTATTAATTAATAATATTAATAATAAAATTACATAAATAGATAAATGAATAAAGAAAAAAGCTGGTAGGGAAGTTGCAGGTCTCACAATATGAAACTACTCTGGTTTATATGCACACATGAGCTGCTGTTACTAGAGAGATTCCTACAGCGTCACGTGACCATATTTAGTCAGTCAGTCCAGGAAAGGAAGAATCAAGGGAGAAAAACTGCGTGCTGGCGACCAATAACACACTCAAAAAGCAGGTAAAACATCGACATATGGTTGAAACGACTCACTAGATATCTCATACCGCTCTCATTATGAGCTTTTCTCGTCCAATAACGTGGCTTTCACAGTTTTTCGCTAGTAACAGGTCAGCATTTGATGGTTTCACGTCAGGCTCAGCTCGAGCATTGTGTCGAGAATGACAAAGACTGTATTATAAGTCATGCTGACTCTATTTCCACATGATGTACTTACGAAAATGCATCATTTGATCACTTTAGTGGCTTTGATACTGTTATGTTAGCTTGTAACGCCTTCATGGTCGTCAAGTCATGTTTGTTTTGCTACACATGCGATCTGACCGACTGTATTCTGCAGTATTGTGATGCTCACTTGAAATGTGGTGTTCAATTCAAGTAAAGTTGGTTTTATATTAAGTTAACACATTCAGACTTTCTCCTTAATGCAATTTCAGAAAGTATTAGTTGCAAATTCTAAAGAGGGAAATCATATTAGCAACCATTGACTGAAGTACAACATTGTATACAGTCAATCAAATGGTGCCAATGTGGTGTTGAAGTCCTATTTACATGCTATTTCAGACCGAATATTCAAAGTACAGTAAGTCACAAGTTGTCACTGTTCATAAAATTGTATAATTGTAAAATTGTAAAATTAATTGTTCATACATGGTATTTTGAGGTAAAGAAGATTTTATATTTGCACTTTCAGACTTTCTCCTTAACAATATCATTTCATAAAAGGTATTAGTTAAAAATCTCTAAATAGGGAAATCATATTAGCAACCAATGACTATCAAAGTATAAAACTTGTTCACAGTCCGTTAAATAGTGCTATTGTTGTTTTGAAGTCATACTTGCATGCTATTTCAACACCGAATATTCAAAGTACAGTAAGCCACAAGTTGTAACTGTTCAAAAATGAACCATGGTGCTAATATAAAACCAACTTTACCTCAATTGATCCTTATATGTGATCTGCAGTCTAACATTAGTATAAAACTGATGTCTGGTTCATTAAAACTCAGTAAGCCTTATTGGGTCACTAACTGTTTTAATTTTGCTGTGACAGCAGAACCAAATAATCTTACCATGGTATTTTAAGGTAAAGTTGGTTTTATATTCGCACATTCATTCAGTGATAGCTTGCAACATGCTCCCTATATTGTTTACCTTGGTACTTTGAATATTTGGTTTGAAATCACATGCAAGTTTGACTTGAAAACAACTTTAACACTTTATTTGCCTGTGAACACTGTTGTACTTCAATAGTCTTTAGCTGCTAATTTAATTTCTATATTTAGAATTGGCAGAATATTTTTGTAAAAGTATATTAAGGAAAAAGAGTGAATGTTTTAATAGTATAAAACCAACTTTACCTCAATGCATGTTTTTTGATGCTGACATGGTGCTTTAAATGAAGAAATGCCTTGATCAGTAATCAGGGTAAAAACTTTGGTACATTGACATGGCACTAAAATGACTGTACCATGCTTTTTTACATGCTGTGGTAAAGTTGGTTTTATATTTGCACATTCGTTCAGTGACAACTTGTAACATGCTCTCTATATTTTTTTACCATTGTACTTTGAATACTGGGTCTGAAATTAAGTGTAAGTATGACTTGAAAACAAAATTAGCATTATTTAATTGTCTGTAAACACTGTTGTACTTTGATAGTCATTGGCTGCTAATATAATTTCTCTATTTAAAATTAGCAAATATTATTTTAGTGGAAATATATTAAGGAGAAAGTGCAAATGTGTTAATATAAAACCAACTTTACTTCAATTCATGGTATTTTCATGCTGACATGGCGCTTTAAATGAAGAAATACCTTGATCAGAAATCAGGGTAAAAACTTTGGTACATTGACATGGCACTAAAATGCCTGCACCATGCTTTTTTCATAATTGAGGTAAAGTTGGTTTTATATTCGCACATTCAGACTAGGCCTGTCACATTAATCAATATAATGAATTATCATGCAATACTTGGAGATGACCTCAATATTTTTTGCCATTGCAAATATAATTACAAATTCACAAATAAACTTAAAACCATTTTACAATCACATTTACATTCTACCTCACCGGTGTCAAAGTTTTTAATTTGACATTTACCCAAGACATTCGATAGCATATATTTACAATTATTTTTTTAGGGGTTTTCACCTTTATTGACAGGACAATGGAGATTTACAGACAGGAAAATATGGGGAACAGAGAAAGGGGTAGGATCGGCAAAGGTCCTCGAGCCGGGAATCGAACTTGGGTCGCCACGAGCACCTGGGTGCTATATGTCAACGCACTAATCACTAGGCTATTGGCACCGACATTCAATAACATATATAAAAGGACGTTTACCTTTTTAACAACAAATTATAGAATCTAAATAACCTTAGGAATGAAGTGTTTACGGCTATTAGCAATGTTATGCTATTATATAATCCGTGGCTTAAAATGATCTCAAAATAACAATAATATCCTTTATCGCAAAAGTTTCTGTGACAATATATTGCACAACAAAAAACCCCTAATTCAAGCCTAATTTAAGCCTAATTCAGACTTTTCCCTTAATATTATAATTTCAGAAAAGTACGAAAATTGTAAAAATTTGAAATAGGGACATTTTATTCACAGCCGATGACTATCAAAGTACAATATTGGTCTCGGTCAGTTAAATGTTGCTAATGTTGTTTTGAAGTCAAACTTGCATTTCAGACTGAATATTCAAAGTAGCATGGCAAACAATATAAGGAGCATGTCACAAGTTGTCACTGTTCAAAAATGAACAAATGTGCGAATATAAAACCAACTTTACCTCAACTTTAACTCTTTTTATATACCAGCAGTGTCTGGGTCAAAAAAAAATGAAAATCCTAGTTTGTGTCTGCATCCAAATAAATGTTCAAAGGGATTTTGTGTTGCATATTACATGCAAGTGCAATGCACTTTAATGATTAAAATAGTTCTTTAGTGAAAATAAAATCTCAAAATTTGGGTTGAAATATTCATTATACCCAATATATTTATGTTGTTAAAACAAAACAACATACTTATTCTGAATTGCACTTAAACAATGTACACAAGAAAAAGTGATCATAAATTATAGAATGAAATGGGTAAAACTAGAGGTCAATAACAAATTTTAATTAAAGCTGCAAGCAGCGATGATAGGGACCTCGCACCCGGGCTCACCGCCGCCCGGTGGCCTCAGGATGACAGAAATCAGTGAACAATAATATCTTAAGCTGATATATATAAAAAACTTGAGAAAATCACAGATTTATGCCAAACTTTCTTCTGTCAGTAGGTGGCGCTAGGACTGTGACTCAATATTGCAATGTAGATTTGTTCAGGAGATAAATTTAATCAACCATGTGAAGTTTCAGGCTGATTGGACATTGTGTGGTTAAGTTATAAGGACTTCCTGTTTCATGGCGAAGCGTTGAGGTTTGTCATGCCACCACATACACGCCCCTCTGCGAAAACTCTAGATCTTCATATTATATCATCGCTTGAGCTTTCAGATACACAACCAACCAAATTTGGTGCTGATATGAAAACATTTGTGGAATGAGTTTATTACTTTGTAAATCATGACATTTTCTGTGGCCAGCAGGTGGCGCTGTAACTGTATCTGGATATCGGCATGTAAACTTGTTCTGGTCTGGACTTATATTAAACGTGAATTTTGAGGCAGATCTGATAATGCATGCCTGAGTTATAATGACTTCCGGTTTTGTGGCGAATCGTTAAAGTTTGCGAGGCCGCCACGGACACGCCCATCGACAAAACCTCTAAAGCTTCGCAATTTAACATCGACAAGGCCTTTAGATAACAAAACCCAATTTTGGTGTCGATAGCATAAAATCCCTAGGAGGAGTTTGTTAAGATACAAAGCCTGGAAATGGCAAAAATGCCACTTATTTGCCGCAGGAAGTTAAAAATATCCGACTTCCTGTGGGGTTTGAGTTATGGCTCCAAGAGACTTTTTCGTATGTTTTGGCATGTTTGAGGTGTGTGCCAATTTTCGTGCATGTGCATGATTCGTAGATCAGGGGCTCGTCCGTTTAATTTTTATAGGTGGCGCTGTCGAGTCATTTTGCCATGCCCACTTCATTATTGTTATGAGGATGTGTTCAAGAGATGACGTTTATCAACCATGTGAAGTTTCAGGCAGAGCTGACATTGTGTGCTTGAGTTATAAGGACTTCCTGTTCCATGGCGAAGCTTTGAGGTTTGTCATGCTGCCACGGACACGCCCCTCTGCGAAAACTCTAGATCTTCACAATATATCATCGCTAGGGCTTTCGGATAAAACAACCCAAATTTGGTGCTGATACGAAAAAATTTGTGGGAGGAGTTTGTTATGATGTAAAACATGTCATTTCCTGTGGCCAGCAGGTGGCGCTATAACTGTATCTGGATATCGGCATGTAAACGTTTTCAGGTCAGGGCTCTTATCAAACGTGTGAATTTTGAGGCAGATCGGATAATGCATGCCTGAGTTATAACGACTTCCTCTTTTGTGGCGAATCGTCAAAGTTTGCGAGGCCGCCACGGACACGCCCATCGACGAAAACTCTAAAGCTTCGCAATTTAACATCGCCAAGGCCTTTAGATGACAAAACCCCATTTTGGTGTCGATCGGATAAAATCCCTAGGAGGAGTTCGTTAAAATACAACGCCTGGAAATGGCAAAAATGCCACTTTTTCGTCGCAGGAAGTCAAAAATATCCAACTTCCTGTTGGGTTTGAGATATGGCTCCAAGAGACTTTTTTGTATGTTTTGGCATGTTTGAGGTGTGGGCCAATTTTCGTGCATGTGCGTGATTCGTGGATCGGGGGCTTGTCCGTTTAATTTTTCTAGGTGGCGCTGTCGAGTCATTTTGCCACGCCCACTTCCGAAGACCATAAAAAACGTAAATTTTCGCCACTTCTGAGGTGTGTGCAAAGTTGCGTGAGTTTTCGGGCATGTTTAGCCCCTCAAAATCGCGATTCATTGGAGAGAAGAATAATAATAATAATAAACGGAGCAATTCCAATAGGGCCTTGCACCGTTCGGTGCTCGGTCCCTAATAACTTTAACGATATTTGACACTGAATGCTAATTTAGTGGGTGTGATTTTTATTTTTTATTGTGCTGGAAAAAATTAAGATTTAAAGTAAATAAATGAAGATGAATTAGGACACATTCTAATGTACATTTAAAAACAAAACTACTTTAAAGTTATGCTACACATTTAACAAGTGTTTGTCTTTAGCGCAGGCCAGGAAAGTTCATCATGAATGATAATAAAATATTTCTTAAATGTTGATTTGAAAATTCAGCACATCTTTCTTACTGATTCATTTATAGTCTAGTCAGCCCAAACATGTTTATTTATGGAACTTGCTCTAAGAAAGAGGAATTTGCTTGATTTAAACCAGGTCAGAAGTGTGAAGCGGGATCTTCCACGAAATATATGATACCTCAGTCATCGACTTCACTCTGTTTGGCTGTTTCTCTGTTTTTTTTAGAGCAGAAATGGAATGGAGATGGTCTGCATGTACTGGTGTTTTGATTGACAGCTGGAAGGAGGCCACATCTGAATGCTTCACTGGAGAGCTTTGAGCGAACGGTAAATTTACCTCATTGCACTCTCATATTTGGGGTCAGCGTGGGGTAAATGAATAATCTTCTAAGTAGGACTGTGCGATTTTTGAGAAAATATCTAGTTGCGACTTTATTTATTTATTTTTTTGACAGATATTGCGGTTTTGATTTGCGATTTAATTTTGTAAACAAACTTCAGCTCAATAATCTGTATTGTAGCTTCGTACTGCTAGAATGCAATGAGTGTTAGTTAAAAAGGAACTGAAAAGATATCAACTAACTTAAACATTTATTACATTTTTTTTTAAATATTCATAAATGAAACACTAATTTTTCTCTAGAGCAAACAGTAAACACAAATATAATGACCTTGCCTTTCTGTAAACATGTTGAACTCAAATTAGGGAGATAGTGTAGCTTATTATACAAAAAAATTATAATTATAAAAATACAGCACACTCAGCAAACTAACATGGCTGATAAGAGCCTTTGTGTAGCTTAAACTTGTCTAAAACAAAATAATAATCACAGATGCACACAAAATATCATGACATTAAACGTACAGCTGTGGGACTCCAAAATGGCTAAAATTGGTGTGAGACGGAAGTGTATATCTCCTATCCTGCATGTAGATGGGGTTTTTTTAATTCCCTTTTTGGTCACTGCATTAAAAGGCAGCATGTCTTAAGTGAGGTAGTGCGTTATGGCATTAGTTATCTCCTGGGCAGGGTTGCACCAGCTGTTTGTAAGTTCTTTCTTAAACTGAGAGGTAAAGTCTACACTAGGGGTTTTGTAACTACTAGCTAGTTTGTAACTAAATTTGTTATTATGTTCTTAAAACCAGTTAAACTCTGCGCACCCGGTACCAGGTCTGTGACGTCATCGATTTTTGCATTAAGATTTAAAGGGCTAGCATTGCACCACTCCCCCTTAAGTGGTTTTGTTTAAAAGTGTAGAATCTATATTTTATGCACATATGCATCACTTTGGTTTTTATCCTACTGTACAAAAGTTATTTACACTTAAATACACAGTATTTTGGATACCCGAGCTGGGTATTGAACTTTAGTCATTTTTAAATGGTTCATATATGACAGATGTACAAGTAATAGCTCAAATGAAAGCTCTTGCTGGTGCTCATACGGTTCTAGCGTTCTTTTTACTGCGTTATATTCACATATCAAACAGTTGTTGAATGAATTGCGGTGTTTCCATGGTGCAGAAGTGAAAACAACACATTTATGATCAATAAGCAGCCCCAGATAGCACAGACAGCTGTCATCTCTTACCTTATGCTGTGCCCTTCAGGGCCATTTTTCCTCTGTTTTTGAGGTGATGTGCAAATGTAATCCTATATACAATACAATAACTTTTGCATAGATTATGGTAGAGACATTTTTCTTTTTCCCTATAATTACAGACATGTTCAGGAACCACCAAAATTAATTACAGCAAGCTAGACCACACCGAACCTAAAAAATACACTTTCAAATTTAAGTTTATAAAAAAAAATGAAGTTTTTCCATTTTTTTTATTTTTATTTTTTTTAACAAAAACTTTCTTCCTTTCCCACTGCTGTTACAATTTCTAGCCAAGAATTATTGGTTATTCTTATGATCATGCATGGACTGATCATAAAGATGTCTGTACAGTCGTACTGTTTCAGTCAAAACCTCCTCAAAGTGTTTCATATTCAACTCATATCAAATGTGGCTCCATGTTTACTGTTTGCTCGAGTCTTAAAAAAAAATCATGCGCTCCACCAGCTGAACTCATGTCGCGCGCTCCCAAAGTGAAGCTCCGCAAACACAGCGATGACATCACATTCGCCGCGCGCCCTCAAACAAACTAGCGGACGTGTCGAGTATAAACCAGGCTTAAGACTCAACATTGCATATCTTGTGTGTGTCTTTTAAGAATGCGCACATTGTGTTATCGATGCTAAAATTATATATTGTGTGTGAATAATTAACAACAGAATTTTCATTCAGCAATTTGCTTGACTTCTGTTTTCAGAGACGGGTGTCCTCGCCATCATGAAGCTGAACGAGAGGAGTGTGGCACACTATGCCACATGCAACTCTCCTCCAGACAAGACTGGCTTCCTCTTTAAGAAAGGTGAGCGAAACACGGCGTACCATCGCCGCTGGTGTATTCTGAAGGGCAACATGCTGTTCTACTTCGAGGAGCGCGAAAGTCGAGAGCCGATTGGTGTCATCGTTCTGGAAGGCTGTACGGTGGAGCTCTGCGAATCTGAATCCGAAGAGTTCGCATTTGCCATTAAATTCGAATGTGCCAAAGCGAGAGTCTATAAAATGGCGGCGGAAAACCAGGCTGCTATGGAATCATGGGTAAAGGCTCTGTCGCGGGCCAGTTTTGATTACATGCGGCTGGTGGTGAAAGAGCTAGAGAGGCAGCTGGAGGAAGTACAAGAAGAAGCGCGGTCTTCACAAGCCAAAAGCAAGACCAAGAAAAACCAGACGGGACTCAGAATTTCCTCCGCATCTGTACAGAGCGCCTCCATTACGGGGCCTTGCCAAGAAGGCTTGTCCAATAGAGAAAATGGGGTTTCTTGGAGCAAACCTTCCAGTGTGGCCAATGGTTTAAGTGAGGGTTGTGCTTGGGATAGAGACTGTAACGTGAGGGCCGATGGAGTTAAACCTCCTCCAATTCCTCCACGAAGAAAAACCAACGGCGGATCACTAGAGAGCCCTGTTTCTCCTGGGACAGGCTGCTTTTCTAAACTACATGACTGGTATGGAAAAGAGGTGGCAGAACTGAGAGTGGAGTGGCTGCAGAGTCAGTGAATGAAGGCAAATCTCAAAATATACACCAAAATATAAGTGTGTATTTTGACGTTAAAGGTCAAAATCATCTGAAAAACGTGATTGAGATGATAATTTGTTTTATTACTGATTTTTTTATTATAACTTTTTTTTATTAAAGTGATAGTTTACACCAGTGCTTAATTTGTTAATGAATAATTCCCGTAACAAAACCAGGAAATAAAAGTTACCATAACTGACGTCCAGCACACAGTTTCAGTTTTCCCGGAACAGGACGACATTTAACGTTAATAGCACAAAAAAAGCACCACATTTCTGAACGGCCTTTAATTATTTTGTGCCATATAACGTTATAGGTCAGTCATGGATAATAAAAACATGTAGCTACAAACCTAAATCGTATAAACAATCACCATTTACTTCACTATTATGTGCCAAATTTAAATGTGTCTCTCAGTTTGAGGCCTCGTTTACACGAATGCGTTTTAGTTTTAAAGTTTAGCTATGGTTACGTCTTCCGTACACTCTACCCCGGAGTTTTCGAGCCCTGAAAACAGCTTTTTGAAAACGCTAAAGGGGCTGTTTTCATTTTAAAACGCTGCATGCTCTGTGTCAGTGTGGATGGGGGAAAATGGAGACTTCTGAAAAAGATTGGGGCTTTTTCCTGAATATTAAGAAAATTTGCACAAATTTAAGTTTTACTTCCTCTCCTTAAGTTCAGACTTTGCAAGTTTGATATGGAAAACAAACTCCCGAGCACACGTCGGGTAACTCTTCAAAGGGAACAGTGTACTTTATAACCTCATTCACATCACCCTGGCTACGCTGTTTCACTATCTTAACGATAAAATGAAAACACAATATAAGGAACTGCCTATTTTCATTTTGATATTAACAACTTAACAGACTTAACTAAAAATGTTGAGGCGTCGTGTGGCTACATATTTATATGACCGTCATCTTCACTGTATGCATATTTATAACAAAACTGAGCCTAAAACACAACTGCCTCCTTTCATTTTCTTTGAACAATATGAAACTCACCCTGTCTCCTTTGCTAAATATTATATTATTTAGTTTTAATAACCAATAATGGCCTTTATAAAAGTATAATGTACAATAAATTAATACAATATAGGAAATAAAGGCAAGCAATCAGCCAAGTATGCAGAATCAGTATACGCGGTTACATAAATTAGCTTAATAACTTACCTTTGCGCTCAGCCAAAACACATTACCTGAGAACAACTGTTAGATTCAAAAGACTGAAGAGTCGTTAGATAGAGACCAGATTAATTAAATATCAGATTTGACAATTATAGTGAGATGAAATCCAGCAGAAGATCCTTAATGACCTGTCCGACATGCGCTGCTCCCACCCCGGGAGGTGTGCTCAAAGCACCCACTGATTGCCTAGAGCTCAGACATCCGCATACACCGCAGCGCATGCCGAAGTGTGTGTAGTCACGTGATGTGCGTTTCAGCGGTATAGTATGGATGGAGATCTGTTCAGAAACACTAGGTAAAACGCCAGTGTGAACGTGGATCGTTTTCATTTTAAAACATTGTTTTAAAACTAAAATGTACTAGTGTAAATGGGGCCTAATCTTCAAGAATGCTTTGCTTCTGTCTCCTGCTATCCTGATCCATCCGCGCAGTTTCATCTTCTCAAGATCTCATTTGATTAGACTCATTATCAGATTTACTCATGGTTTAAAAAGAAAAAATTAAAATATGCTTGACTGCCTCGTTGCTGTTTTGAAAATACAAATATTATTTAGGCAGGCCACTATGCCATTATTCATTTTCGCTGCTCACTGTGTGTGAAACAATCACCAACCAATGAGAGTAATTGTAAACATAAGAAAGCCGATTGGCTGAAAATTTTGTTGAGGACCAATAGTTAAACATGACTTTTGTTTTATCTTTTGTGTGGTGACTACCGTCATGTGCGCACACACATCCACACAGCCTTGCATTCATTCACATTCTCTCTCTCTCTCTCTCTCTCTCTCTCTCTCTCTCTCTCTCTCTCTCTCTCTTTCTCTTTCTCTCTCTCTCTCTCTCTCTCTCTCTCTCTTTCTCACACACACATGTAGGTATTCACTACACACAAGTTAGTGATGGCTGGATCCATTAAATCCAAATATGGATCCAAATATCTCACATTTTCCGGAACAGAATCTGGCTCAAATTAAGCACTGGTTTACACTAAAATAAAAGTTTACTTAGGGGTTCCAAATCTGTATGAGTTGGGTTTTTTAAACACAAAAAGAAGATGATATGAAAACATGTTGAATTTTGGATCATTTAAATCCATAGCAGGAAATAACACTATGGAAGTCTGTGGATTGAAAGTTTTACCAATTTACATCCATGAAAGCTCACGAATTTACATTCATGGTAGAAAAAAAAATACTATAAAAGTCTATGGATTTTCAGTGTTCTTCACAATATCTTCTATTGTGTTCAACAGAAGAAACTCAAACAGGTTTGTAACAAGTGGAGCAAGAGTAAACGATGACACAATTTTCATTTTTTAGGTGTCCTATCCCTTTAAATAAGACCAAGGCATTTTTAAAGGAACATTTTAAAGGTTGTTTATTTTTAACCTCATGTCGTTCCAAATCTGTGTAGGAAACACCAAAATATGTGTGTGTATTTTGATGTTAAAGGTCAAATCCATTTTTGGAATTGGATTTGAATGATCATTTGTTTATTACTGATTTTTTTTTTTTTAAATATTTTTTATTATTATTATTATTATTATTAAAGTGATATTTTACACTAAAATGAAAATTTACATAGGGGTTCCCAACCTGTTTGAGTAAGGGTACTTTTTTTTTTTTTTTTTTTTTTTACAAAAAAAGAGAATAATTTTAAAAACATGTTGGATACTTTTTTCCCCATCGTAGAAAAATACTATGGAAGTCTATGGATTTCCAACATTCTTCACAATATCTTCTTTTGTGTCCAACAGATGAAACTAGCTTGTAAACAATGACACAATTTTCATTTTTTTTTTTTTATTTGATGTACTATGGCTTTAAATATGACAAGCACATTTTTAAAGAATGTTCTGTCTTTTATTTTGCTCAACCTCATGTCGTTCCAAACCCGTGTAAGAAAATAGTCTATAATTTTCTTTTAATTTTTAAGCAAATTACTATTTTTTTTAATTCAGTGAGCATAAAATATTGTCTATATGAACCAATAAAAAGAAAAAACATGCATTTATTGTTTACATATATCATTACTAAAAAATGAATGGCATGTTTAGGGTGAACTACTGTAAATGTATCATTAAATCAGTTTTAAATGGATTCATTAAAACAGAATTAATTAATTAATTGATCCACAGGAATTAAGTTTTGGAAAAGGCTCATTTTACAGCTCCCCTAGTGGCTAACACATTGTTGCATAGTACGGCAGCAAAGTTCCTTGTTTATTACGCCAGAATCAGAGTATATTTCCTAGCCTTATCAGCCTAGAAAACAGTAACTTTTTATACACGATGTAACTACAAAAGAGTCAAGCTTTAAAGATGAAAATTTTCAAATTGTTTTTATTTTTTGAGTGAGATGCTAATGGTCTAATCCGATTCAATGATTTATGCTAAGCTAAGCTAAAAGTGCTCTCTTCAGACCTGGGGATCGACTGAATGGTTCAACAATGGTAAAACTCAACTGTTTAACTCAAGGGGAGCTATGCACTGAGCCTATTTTCAATGGATTTATAGCTTGTGTAAATGCTTATTTAAAAACAGACGTTTTCAGATTTCATGTAAAACACTGTTTGATCATTCTTTTTCTTTTTTTAGAAAGATGCTAATGGTCTAATCCAATTCAATTATGTATGCTAAGCTAAGCTGAAAGTGCTCCCGCTAGACCCAGAGATTGGCCTAATGGATTCAAAAATGGTAAAACTCAGCTGTTTAACTCAAGGGGAGCTAGGCATTTAGCCTGTTTCCAATTTTTTTATAGATCATGTAAATGCTATTTTTAATGGTAAACAAATTGTATGTGATCCTATAATCATCAATCATACGGTGGCAGACACTGAAAATGATCCTCGGCTGGCCAACCACAGTGGCTTCAGATTTCATATAAAACACGGTGTTTGACACTATTTTTTGAGGAAATGCTAATGGTCTAATCCGATTTAATCATGTATGCTAAGCTAAGCTAAAAGTGCTCCCGCCAGACCCAGAGATTGGCCTAATGGATTTAAAAATGGTAAAACTCAGCTGTTTAACTCAAGGGGAGCTAGGCATTTAGCCTGTTTTCAATTTATTTATAGCTCATGTAAATGCTTTTTCAAAACAAACATGGTAAACAAATTTTGTGTGATCCTCTAATTTTCATTCATGCGGTGACAGACACTAAAAAAGATCCTTGGCCAACAGCAGTACCTTCAGCTTTCAAATAAAACACTGTGTTTGATACTCATTTATTTTTTAGGAAGACGCTAACGGTCTTATCCGATTCAATTATGTATGCTAGACTAAGCTAAAAGTTCTTCTGCCGGTGTCAGAGATTGGCTGATTGGATTCAAATATTGGAAAAATCAAGTGGAGGTATACAATGAGCCTATATCCGATTTATGTATAGCTCAAGTAAATACTTTTTTAATGGTAAACAAATTGTATGTGATCTTCTAATCATCAATAATGAAGTGAAACTATCCTCCACTGACGCATAATGCTAATGGTCTAATCTGATTCAATGATCTATGCTAAGCTAAGCTAAAAGTGCTTCCGCCAGACTCTGAGATTGGCTGAATGGATTCAAAAATGGTAAAACTCAACTGTTTACCTCTAGGGTAGCTGTATAATGAACCTATTTCCACAAACAATGGAGCGTTCCTTTAATGTGAAAAAGATAATTCAGGACATTTAGCCAAACTTCTGCATTTTTGTTCATGGAAACAGAAATGTGATACGGGTTTGGAACGGCATGACAATGAGTAAATGATGATGCTGTTTTCTTTTTTAGATGAACTATTCCTATAACAGGGGTGTCCAAACTCGGTCCTGGAGGGCCGGTGTCCTACATATTTTAATTTCAACCCCAATTAAACACACCTGAACCAGCTAAGCAAGCTCTTTCTAGGTATACTAGAAACTTCCATGCAGGTGTATTGAAGCAAGTTGGAGCTAAACTATTCAGGACAACGGCCCTCCAGAACCAAGTTTGAACACCCCTGTCCTATAACATTTCGCACTTAGTTTTTATGTTGAGATTTTTCTACAATCTC